TCAGATTTGGTTTCCTCGTGTGTATGCCCAGGAGTGGGATTGCTGGGTCATATGGCAGTTCTGTTTCCAGTTTTTTAAGGAATCTCCACACTGTTCTCCATAGTGGCTGTACTAGTTTGCATTCCCACCAACAGTGTAAGAGGGTTCCCTTTTCTCCACACCCTCTCCAGCATTTATTGCTTGTAGACTTTTGGATAGCAGCCATCCTGACTGGCGTATAATGGTACCTCATTGTGGTTTTGATTTGCATTTCTCTGATAATGAGTGATGTTGAGCATCTTTTCATGTGTTTGTTAGCCATCTGTATGTCTTCCTTGGAGAAATGTCTGTTTAGTTATTTGGCCCATTTTTTGATAGGGTCATTTATTTTTCTGGAGTTGAGCTGGAGGAGTTGCTTGTATATTTTTGAGATTAATCCTTTGTCTTGGGCATTTACTTCTAAGAAAAATCTTTTAAGTACTTCTAAGATTTACTTTCCAAACCTTTTGCTGTGAGAATTCATTTTTACTACAATTTATCTGTTCTCACTTTAATTCAATTAGCATGATGAAATATGAGTATTTCCTGCAGCGATTGAGAAATAAAAGATAATACAGAGCTGTATCTACATGGACATATGGGTTATAGCTATTACCCACAGAAAAACTGTTTCTAAATAAGCCATTATAAACTTAGGTACAAGCCTGATTGTTATAATTTGGGTGCTATAGCCATGCTATTAAGAACAAAATCCTATTAAAATTAATTTGTGAAACTCATAATCCTTTAATCTGTTCTACAATAATATAATAGCCAAATCCTGGAAGTCCCTCATTATCAAAAAGCAAGCACATTTTAAAAACAATAATCTCATTGAGGAAAGAGGATTTAGGGTCAGTTAAGTTAAAGACTAAAAAAGTTCTTTAGATCTAGTGATAAGAAAATCACTGCCATTTACTACCTACATATTTAAATTTCTTGAATCTGTGGGTTTACAGTTTTAATCAAATTTGAAAAAAAACTTAGCCTTTATTTCCTCAGATATTTTTCTGACCTGAAACGCCCCTACTGTGCCCCCACCCCCAATACACACTCCTTCTGGGACTCCAATCACGCATATATTAGGGTCATTGAAGTTGTCTTATATTTCACAGATGCTATTTTCATTAAAAAATTTTTCTTTTCTTCTGAGTTTCATTTTGGATCATATTTATTGCCATAGTCTTTAAATACACTAATCCTTTCTTCTGCTGCAAGTTTAGTCTGCTATTAATCCAATCCAGTGCATTTTTCTTTTCAGACACTGTAGTGTTCATCTCCAGAAGTTTGACTTGGATCTTTTTTATGTCTTCAATGTTTCTACTTAGTTTTTGAATGTATAGAATACATTTAGAATCCACCTGCAATGCAGGAGACTTGGGTTCAGTCCCTGGGTTGGGAAGATCCCCTGGAGAAGAGAAAGGCTACCCACTTCAGTATTCTGGCCTAGAGAATTCCATGGGCTGTATAGTCTATGAGGTTGCAAAGAGACACGACTGAGCAACGTTCACTTTCACAATAACTTTTACATTTATGGTCTTCTAATTCTATTATCTGGGTCAATTCTGGGTCAGTTTTGATTGAAGGAGTATTCTGCTCACTAACGAACATATTTTTCCTCCTCCTTTGAATGCCTGGTAATCTTTCATCGTATGCCAGACATTATGAATTTTACACTGCTGGGTGCTGGGTACTTTTGTATTTGTATATTACTGAGCTTTGTCTGGAATGCATTTAAGTTATCTTGCAATAATTTGATGCTTTCAAGACTTGCTCTTACGGTTTGTTAGCTGGGTTGAGGGTAGAGCTCAGTCCATCTTGGATACTTTACTCAATGCTTCGTGAATTGTAAGTGCGTCTAATCCGGCTGGTGAGGACAGACACTACCCCAGTCCTCTGGTTCTGGCCCTCTGTGGTCGTTCTCTGCTCAGCTTTGGGGAGTCTCCTCATATGCGTGCACAGAATACCCGAGAGGAGAGGGCTCTCTGTCTGGGCCCCTCTCTGCTCTCCAGTATGCTGCCCTGTGAACTCTGTCCACGCTGGTCTCCCTGACTCTCAGCTTCATCCTGACTTTCCGAGGTTCTCCTTCCTTGTGCTGCAGCCAGGAAACTCTCTCAAAAAAATAAGTTGGGATAATTGTAAGGCTTACTTTGTCTGTTTCCTTTTTCTAGGAATCACTTTTCTCTGCCATCTAATTTCAAGTATCTTGGAAATCATTATTTAGCGTTTTTTGTTTTTATGTGTGTGTAAGTTCAGTGCATTACTACTTTATCTTGGCTGAAAGTCAAAGTGCCACATTTGAATAAACTTTTGTGAGCTGTTCTGAATTTTAAAAGCAGAGGACTAGGCATTTCTCTATAAAAGTATGAACTAAAGTTAGTCTAAAAATTCTTTCTATAGGTATACAGGTTCTGACAGCTTTTTTTTTTCATTCTGATTGTAGTTCTGTAGTTTCCATAGGAAAAAATATTCCACCTTCACATCTAAAATATATTTTTGAAATAATGTAATTATCCTAGATATCTACTGTCTATTTAAATGCAATTTTCTATAATTATATATTTTATAAAAATAGATGATTTTTTTAATGGGATGAAAAAATGGACTTTTTTCTGGCTTTCCACAAAGCCAGGAAAGACTCTTATCCTCTCATTCTCCTATTAATGTAAAAAATGTACAATGTGAAAATGTCCAAAGTTTATATATGTGTAACAGATCCATGATTATAAATTCTATAGGACCCAAACACAGATTCACCTTATATGGTGGCATAAATAAATACGAAAAGATAACCTAGGTGTGATGTTGATGAAGAGAGATAAAATCTATTAACTTACTGTAAACCAGAAAAATCTTCTTCTCGCTGACTTAGCCCTCCTACCCTGCTTAAAACTCATTCACATTGACATATTTCCTTGGGTTGAGAAATAAGTTACCAAACTGTTAAATTTAAAGGTTAAGATGGAGAGCAGAATTCAGGCAACTAGTACAAAGTTACAGTTGCAACTTCTATCTCAACTATGCTAGTCTACTCTCCAGAAAATCCATCACCTTTAACATACCTGAAACTTCTCCCTTCAAGTTTTATTATCTTTCTAAGAAGTGATGCACTTGCCAAAATTCCTCCGTGGTTCAGAGGTACAAGGAATGTCAAATCTGAAGTTACATGCTCGAAATAAGTTATCCCAATTCATGAATTAGTCTGGCACAAAATCCTTATTGATTTTCTGCACTACAAGATCTACTGGCTTAGGATCGCCATCAGTAAAGGTCAGAGTAATTCTGAAAGCCTAAATAAGAGTTTTTAGTTATTCCTGCATGGACAGATACAATCTAACTGTGGAGAAGTCTGTAAAAATGGGAGGTTACAAGTGGAGGTGATATTAGTCACAGTCATCTGCCCAGGGAAAGAGCTGTGGCAATACAATAGGGACCACAAAGTGAAAAGCAGAAGCCGTGGCTAGGTATGGCTACGAGCTGTGGGTCCCGAGACAGAGAAGAGAATGAGGCAGGTAAGCAAAGAGTTGACACTTCAAGAAAAAAGTCCAAGAATTATACAAAACTAAAATCAGGAAGGTAGATCCAAGTGAAAGTAATAGACAAAAGATCATATTTGGTTCCTGAAACAGAATTTTCATGATCAACTGCCAGAGGGAACAGCGATGCTGATCCTGAAAATAAGCCACCCGAAGTATTACAAATCTGGGTAAGAAAACTGTTCTTAAAAATGCTCTTTGAGGAGACACTGCTCTGGGTAGGAGACACAATATTTGATGTCCTCTGTAACAAGTAGTCGATGTTTCCTTTTGCAGGTGACTCACGCCTCGCCTCGCCTCCTAGTAGTGAACGCCTAACTGCCTCCTGCTGCTTTGATGTGCCTGTGTACACTGAGGGTCACTTGGTATTAGTTAAAACTTTAATAAACAGATTAAAGTGGCTAATTCTGAAGCAGATTTGGTTAGTATCAATAGTTTCTTCTGTAGGAAGATGATACATGAAATGAAACCGTGGGCAGCATGACAGCGTCAACGTATCTCCTCAAATAATTCACAGAAAATAACTGGCACAGACGGTTCTTCTTTCAAAGTCTCCACTTTGCTTTGAAAATCACCCTGGGTAATCAGCTGAATCAGGGCTAATATATATTATCTAGGCCGTGTACTACATTTATTTGAATGGCATCTCTTGGAGTTGTGCAAAGTGGAATCTGTCTCTAAAATCAAGTTTAACTTTAGATTTCACTAAATGAACTGCTTAATACTTTTTTAGTTATAAATAACACCATCAAACTTAACTGTAATCAAACTGTCCTCAGGTTAATTTAAAAACATTAAATATTTTCAATTTTCTCTCAAAGCCTTCAATCACATACTATAATATCCATTTTTCTAAATCTTTCACTTGATAATTTCCTAAATGAAAAGACAAGCTAAGACAGAAAAATATGAAAAAAGTTATGCATATTTTTCTAAACAATTAAGTATAATATCTCTCATTTCCTCAAGTATTCAAAATTCTATCTTTACATAAAAGTACAAAAAAAAATATTGAAAATGAAGCTTTGGGGACTCTGGTTTAAACCAGAGTAAGGAGAAACATCATTGGAATATTCAAATGGCAAGTCAACACACAGACTAATTTTCTGCAACTTGTAAACTCAAATCTTTTGGTATTCTTTTCCTGTAATGGTGCATTTCTTTCTGGATACAAGGTACTTGAAGCCAACTTAGTTCCTTCTCTGACTCCTCATCCTCCTGAGCTTGTATTTTATGTCTTTATCCTACCCCACCAACTCTCCTGATTCCTGAAATGCTCAGCTTTGACTATTCAGTGCTTTATCATTAAGACTCCTTAATGGAAATATTAATAGCATTAAGGGCTTTATTTTCTCATATACATGGAAAACGGTTACCAGCAACTAGAAGTATAAAGTATCTCTCATTAGCAAATTTAAGAACTCTTAGGGAGTAACACAGACTTACGTATTTCTTCCACAACTTGTGGGTCACATTCTCTGTATTTTTCTACTTCAGCCTTTAGCTGTTCCCTTTGGTCTCGAAGTGAAGAAAGCTCTTTTGCTAGCATAGTTCGCTCTTCCTGCATTCAAAATAATGTTATGTCCAATAAGACAAACAAAATGCCATGTTTTAAGATTATACATTTTATAAACATTTTAATCTTATTTCTCATAACTGATATGCATTAGGCTTTTGACAACAACATACATATATTCACAGTATAAGAACAAATTCAATTCTCATTTTTCTCTGCACTCTCCCATTATATATATGTTAACCAAATGGAAACTCAAAGATGATTGTCATTACATGACAGTTGTGATTTGTCATTACATGACAAATGGTAATTTTTTGGAGAGTTTCACAAGATTGTATACACACACACACTAAATTTTATGGCAACATCAGACAGTATAAAGTTTTCCTTAAAAAAAAAAGTGTTCTAGATAATTTCCTAATCTTCAAGAATGATTGACCTTTAAAAATATTTAAAGATATCAGAAACAATAGAACGGTGACCTCCCATCACTTTTCTTTAAAGGTAAACCAAAATAAAACTTTGAAACACAAAATGATCCAATAAACAGTATTTGAAATTTCTAGCCATAGTTTTCATTAACAGGTATAAGTCACAGTGCTGCTGGTATTCAGTTTATATGTGTGAAAAATAAGCCCGAACTAAAATCAAAGACTGGAAGAGGTTATGGTATAGAATTATAGGATAAGTTTCAGGCAAGACCAAATAGAGTTCAAGCTCTCTAATGGGACTCCTTTCAGGTTCCCTGCTAGCTTGCATTTCGCTCCTTTTGCCTTCAGTTGCTCTCCTTGGCTCCTTTTGCTAGCATCAATGCAACAGAATGCACGTACAGAGCCTGATGTAGCAGAGCTCAACAGAACTGCAATAACAGAAATGTTCTAGACCTGCGTTCTCCAGTGCAGGACACATTAACTACATGGGGCTGCCAAGGACATGAAATGTGACTCTTGTTACTGAGAAACTGAATTTAATTGTATTTAATTTCAATTCAAAAGTAAACAACTGTATATGATTAATGTATGCCATGTTAGTACAGTTCAGGAGCGATTTAAAATAACCACAAGATAAGATGATCATTACTTGCTATCAATACCCAAATCATACATAATCCTCAATGAAACATGAGAGGAGAAAAAGCTAATGAAGCCAGGTGAAGCAGAGTGTTGAGTATCTGTGAATACAGGGACAGCTCTCCAGACATCCTGAACTGGGAGCCATCCCAGGCTGGCTATTAGCAACAAGACCTTTGCCACATTACTTAACCTTTTTGTGGTTTCAGTCCCTCAAATGTAAAAATGAAGACAGTAATACAGGCCACCTCCTTGGACTGTTGGCAAAATTCAATAGAGAAAATGCGTTTGGAACAGCATCCGCCTGGCTCATAGTAAGCAACATATATATGATAGCTATGTCTTCTTCATTGTCACTGTCAGCAGTGTCATCACCACCATGAATACAGCTAATAGGTAGAAAAAGCTTTCAGCTATTTCTGAAAACTCCTGACTAGCAAACTCAGGATGAATATAAGAGTTGATCTTTCTCAGGACTCGTTCTGAACTCTTGTTACTATAATCTTCTGATAGCTGTAGGCACCAAATAGGTTTGCTAGTGGTTTTCCCCCTGGTTTCAGAGGTTAAAGTGAACGGGTAATCTTCAGCAGGCTGACTATTATGGGGCGTTAATATGTCACCATTAGTTGAAGGTGCTTCTACAGGTTATTGCCAAATCAAAGGAAAAAAATCATGATTAAATTTTAAAAAGCGGCAAATGCTGCCAAATGAAGAAATACAAGATTCAGGTTGTGCCCAGAACTCATCTTCCCTTAAATATTCTTTAGCAATTACCATTCTCCAGTTCCTATCTGTGACTGTGCTGACTACTCACAGAAAGAATGTATGTAAAATAACTTTGAAAAGCATAAAGCCATGTAAATCTGTGATGTATTCTTTTCTACAGTGTGACAAGTTTTTGAGTCTCTTTCACAACAGGCGGTACCAACAGAGGCTGCAATGAAATGCTTAGAGGTTCATGTTGATCTTCAACATTTTTTCAAGTTGTAAGTTCAAACCTGAGATAATGAAAAAACTAAAAAGTGATTTTTAAAAATCCCTAATATAATACTTTAGAGAACACCATACTTTTGAAAAATAAAATAGGTCAATATTCATTTAATCATTTAAAAATATTATAAGACCACAACGGCCCTATATTGACAGTTTTCAATTGGTTCTGTGCCAAGACTTTTAAAAATCCCAACTCTTAAAAATTTACATAAACATTTATACAGGGCTTACTTTGTGCCAGGCTCTCTTCTAAGTGCTTTGCAAATATTAGCTAGCTTAATCAAACAATAACGCAATGAAGCAGATTTTATTATTCCCCATCTTACAAATGAGAAAACCGAGGAGAGAGCGTTTAGGAGGCCAAAGCCCAGGCAGTCTGGCTCCAGAGTTTGTTTCTTTGCCACACTGCCATTACAATACAATAAGAATAAATCTAGGTTCACAATCAGTGGATCTACCAGGTCAAATGTTCACAGCCTTTGCTGGGACTTGCTTCTTTTCTAGTAGGAACAGCATCCTCTTCACAGGAAGCACGACTGCTTTCATTACACTTAGAGCTGACATTATTCAAACATGTACGGATACAAACTTACTGTTTCATGTCTGCCGATTTTAGCTTTCTGGATGCTTTTCTGTAGGTGTGCATACTTTTGGTTTCCCTCAGATAACTATAAAATTGAAACAAATAAAATGGCATACTAAGATAAACTGGTTTAACATAAAGTTTATGAATCAAGAAGACAAAATGAGATTTGCCTTCAGCCCAAGTCAGCATAACAAAAAACGTCAGACTACTTTGGGAACTGACTTCTCTAACCTGAAGAAAAGCAAGTACCATGAATCACTAGGGCAGACTGAGAAAGTTTAAAATATTTCTTCTTATCCTATACAAAAAAATGAATATGTTATCAATCTTTTCAGTCTTCATTCATCAGATTCCCTGCCTCCATCACAAATAGCCTGAAGTATATTATTTAAAATTTTAATTTGAAAGTTCAAGAAAATCTTGTTTTATATAAATTCTCTCTTCAAATTTCATTTCACTTCAGACTAAAGGCTTTTCGAAACACTGTTTCTTATAGACTGGTAGTACAGTGACCTGTTTCACTAGTAGAGAGTCAAAAATGAATTATTCTTAATTATTCTTCTTAAATAAGGTACTTTATGAGGAATTATATACTAAGTTCTTAGAGAAGAAAAAATCTATCAGACAAATCTACTGCCAATTCGGGCTTCCCTGCTAGTTCAGCTGGTAAAGAACTACCTGCAGTGCAGGAGACCCCGGTTTGATTCCTGGGACAGGAAGATCCCCTGGAGAAGGAATAGTTTACCCACTCCAGTATTCATGGGCTTCCTTGGTGGCTCAGATGGTAAAGAATCCGTCTGCGATGCGGGAGACCTGGGTTCAATCCCTGGGTTGGGAAGATCCCTGGGAGGAGGGTATGGCAACCCCACTCCAGTACTCTTGCCTAGAGAATTCCCATTGACAGAGGAGCCTGGCGGGCTATGGTCCATGGAGTCACAAAGAGCTGAACATGACTAAGCACAGCGCAGCGCTGCCAATTTTACACATGTTTTAGATACCTTAAAAGTAGCCAGTTTAAGCATTTTACCAAACTTAGAAAGTAAGTTATACTGAAAATGGATTAAGTAACACAAGCATACAGAGACCAACAACATAGAAGATTCATTAGCATGTGGTTGAGCCACCAAAAGGGATTGGTTAATTTCAGAACATTGCTTCCCGTCTCAATTTTATTAATCTCACCTGGGCCCCAAACTAAATAAATACCCACAGGAAATTCTCTACCACATCTTTTGCTGTAAACTAGTTAGACATCTTAGACTCACTGATTGGGTAAAAGTGAAAGCAAAAGTTGCTCAGTCGTGTATGACTCTTTGCGACCCCATGGACTCTACAGTCCCTGGAATTCTCTAGGCCAGAATACTGGAGTGGGTAGCCTTTCCCTTCTCCAGGGGATCTTCCCAACCCAGGGATCAAACTCCGGTCTCCTGCATTGCAGGCTGATTCTTTACCAGCTGAGCCACAAGGTAAGCCCCTTGGTAAAGGGCTTTCTTAAAATACATTCTACACTTCATTCACTCTTGAGTTATAAACATTTGGAAAATAATTAACAAATGGATGAGTAATTTCTTTTGGCTGATTCTAAAAAGCTGACTTTTCACAATATGATTTCGTTATATGTAGAGGGTTAATTATACTTAGATACCCTTTTTTGCTTGAAAAATCACAAACAGTATCTTCAAAAAGTTGGTAGCTTTACCCTGACTTTAAGAAATCTTCCACTTCTCAATATGTACAAAGGGAATATTGTTAGTATTCCTTTGGTTGTCTAGTCCTTGATTTTAATCCATAGCACGAACAAGATCCATCTGTGATGCCAAGAGGACATCACAGTTATACAAACCAGTTATACCTCTTCTAGAGAGAATAATTATCTTCCTAAGTTGAAATACAAAAATCTGCTGTAGAGTTAAGAGCCAAAATAAGCTTTAAAGCCCCAAATTTAGCAAAGAGACCTTGTTCTTTAAAACAAGGGTTCTCATTTATAAAATAACACCATGTTTAAAATGTTAATATTCCACCCTGAAGGACCCATCTGAAATAATTTAATAAATGCATGTAATATCTGCATTTAGGAGTATTTTCCAATGAAAAAATACACATAGGTATTAGCATAACATTTTTACATTACAAATGTTTAAAAACTAACCAGATAGGTAGATGTTACTCCCTAAATGAAGAACTATGTAAAAATAAGCCAATAATTAATGGACATATTAACATATCTTAATTATATTAATGAAATGTTTCCCAGATATTGTATGTCTGCTTTTAATTATTTACAACTTAAAAGCTTTTGAAAGAGAGCTAATTCAGGAATTTCTTAACTCTGAAAATAATCTTATGTATTTTAAATGTGATTTCATGATTTGTCACTTTAACTATCTTGGTTAAATGATGGTATCAAATGAGAAGCTTCTTGCTAATTATCCTAAGCACTGAAACAATTTGGTTCAACTCAGTAGGGAAGGAATCTTGGCTCTGTTTAGTTCTTAAAATCTCAATTGCTGGAAACAATGAAAGCAACTTCTGTGAGGCAGCCCATGCTATCCGTTTTTCATCTACACGTCTCTTAGAAGCAATATTGCTATAGTTCCTAACACATCCCTTGGAATTAAACCAAATGTAGGCCCCTCCAGTGATTAAGAGCTGAGATTTTCAGCCACTGCAGATATTATCTAAACCAGCAGTCTTAAACTTGAGCACACACCAGGGTCACCCAAAGGGCGTGTAAAAGCCGAGGCTGCTGCCCCCCCTCAGGCTTTGAACGGTAGAGGTCTAAGGCACAGCCTAACAACATGCATCTCTAACATGCTCCCAGGTGACGGGATGCTGACGCTTCTGATTACGGGCATCACACTTTTGAGAACTACTGAAGTACGAGAGAAATCTGTTTCTTTGCAGTAACAAACCCAACTAAAATACACAAGATATTAATATATGGGAGACTATTACCTAGTTCATCAGCAAAAATGAATTACTGCTAAGCACTGTAGTCTGAACCAGAAATAAAATATCTCAGTATTTGTCACTGAAAGAAACACAAAAGTCCACATTCACAAAATTAGAAAAAGAAGTGATATTCTATAATGAGAAAAAATATTCACCACAGGACTCCTTTAAAGAGCAAATTCTCTTGACATATTTCTGTAACATAAAACAAGAACTAACTACATACTGTAACAATCTACTTCCAACTTTCATTAAAGCAAATAATAACTTTTAAAACCCAAGTAACTCAGAAAAAACAGCAGCAGCAACAACAAAAGTGACTTATAATTAGTAAGAACAGGATTTCATCTTCAGACTTGAGGAAGGGTCTGACAATGCTTCTCTTTAATGCATTCCAGTCCACCTATGCAGACACTGAGGCTTCAGAGACATAATGCCAATGTTTTCTTAAGGGCTAATTCACTGCCTGGAGGAACAGAAAGATTGATTCAAGCTGGCTGCACTGGAATTCTGATTCGCTCCTTTTTAAAAGTAAAATTTCAAAGCTTTTGAAAGAAATACAGAAGTCCTCATAGGAGGGAAAGAATGTCAAGGAAAGGAGGATGGGGAAAAAAGGTAATAGTAAAAGAATCCAGTAAAAGTCTACAGCTTTATCAAAACTCATGTACAATATGTTATGGAAAAAAGAGGTTCTATGTCTTGTTTCTCCTCAAAAAAAAAAAAAAGAGAGAGGGGCAGTATAATTTAAAATTTTATATATTTAAGAAGTCTTATTAGTGTATCTGGGGCTCCCCAGGTGGCGTTGGTGGTAAAGAACCCACCTGCCAATGTAGGAGATATAACAGACTCAGGTTCGATCCCTGGGTCGGAAAGATACCCTGGAGGAGAGCATGGCAATCCACTCCAGTATTCTTGCCTGGAGAATCCCATGGACAGAGAAGCTTGGCAGGCTACAGTAAATAGAGCTGCAGAGTCAGATATGACTGAAGCGACTTAGCACACACACATTAGTGTATCTACAATTTTAAAATTAAGATGACATGCCATTTAGGAATCAATCATAACAAAACAATGAGTACTATAAAAATGAATTTATATATAAAGGGGGTTATATAATTGTCTTAATAGAGAAATCTTAAATTGCTATTTCATGGTATCAATGTGTCACAATTATGTAGCCAAAGTAAACATTTTAGAAGAACTTTTTTAGTTCTACCACTTTATTGCCACCAACCCATCTCCCTCCACCCTCATGCGCACATGCTCAGTCATGTAACCCCATGGACTGCAGCCCGCCAGGCTCCTCTGTCCATGGACTTTTCCAGGCAAGAATACTGGAGTGGGTTGCCATTTCCTTCTCCTTAGAAGAACTTTTAATGACACCAATATAGAGTTTTAAAAAGCTGGAAACAAAACTGTCAATCCATCTGAGAGACTGTGTGCTGTGCTTAGTCGCTCAGTCATGTCGGACTCTGCGACCCTATGGACTAGCCTGCCAGGCACCTCTGTCCTTGGGGATTCTCCAGGTAAGAATACTGGAGTGAGTTGCCATGATCTTCTCAACCCAGGGATCAAACCCAGGTCTCCCACATTGCAGGTAGATGCTTTACTGTCTGAGACACAAGGGAAGCTCTTTGAGAGACTATGTATGATCAAAAAACCAACCCCCAAAATAAAAACCTGTAAGAAAATGCACAGAACTTGAAAATGGTTATTTTTGTATTGTGAAACATAAAATTTTCTATGTTGTGACTATTATTTTAGAAATCCTTATCCTGGGTAAGGGGGTAGGAGAAGAAAAGAACAGGTGAGGCAGATTAAGAGGTACAAACTTCCAGTTGCAAAATAAATGACTCATAAGTATGAAATGTACAGTGTGTGGAATGTAGTCAATAACTCTAAACTTTGTAAGGTGACATATCGTAACTGTACTTATCATGGTGATCAGTTTGAAATGTACAGAAATATAGAATCACAATGTTGTGTAACAGGAACCAACATAGTGACTCAGAAAAAGATCAAATTTGTGGTTACCAGAGATGGGGGTATGCAGGGGGAACTGGAAGAGGACAGTCAAAAGGTACATAATTTTTTTTAAAATTAATTAACTGTAATTGGAGACTAATTACA